ATTCCAAATTGTGAGTCCTTTGTTGGGGCATACATTTTCTCTGGGGCTGGTGGAAGCTCTTTCAGTGGAAAACAGTTAAGGTCATCTCCTTGAATTCTGCTTTGATATTCTTTCATGGAGGAGGCCTAGGGTTGGACTAGATGACCTCTAAGTTCCTTCCTACTCATATCATGGTTGCTTTTCTGCTCTTATCGCTCTGCAAACCTGCTGGAAAGCCACGGCAAGAGACCAGGAGTTAAATATCCTTCCCCCACCCCACCCCCTTGCAATCTTGTTCCCTCAATCCAAAGCTACTTTTCCAAAATGCAAGTTTACTTTTTTGTTTTTTCCCTTGAAAAACATTTCGCTTTTCATCCAAGAAGCTTCTGAACTGAAAAAGCTTCTTGGATTAGAAGCAAAATGTTTTCAAAGAAAAAAAAAAAGAACCTTTGGGACAACCATGATGTGGTTGATTGAGAATTTCCATAAACACTTGTTCCCTCAACTACACATCCTTGCAAGTGTGTCTCAGCCAAAGACATCAAGAATTGAAACATTAAGAGCCATTTAAAAAAAATAAAAAATGAAATGAACTTTCAATCCATACTGACAACCTCCCCCCATCCCTCCCACCCAACCATCCTGTCCCTAAACTTTCCTCTTCGTCTCTGAATGAGCACCGAAGGGCAGCATGGAGGCTACTGATAAGAGCAATGATAATATTGAGTATTAGCACACCATTTTTTGAGGGTTCAAAGGATTAGCCTGACAACTGTCCTGTCAGTTAGGCCAGAACCAGAATTAACCTTGTTCTGAAATTGTGGCTGAGAGAAGGTGGCTTTTTTTAAGGCCACCTGGTGAATCTGGGATAAGGTTTGAAAGGGGATGTTGCCCTCCTGGTCTCTTTGCTCAGAGACATCTGCCGAGGGCAGGGAGAGAGTCAAAAAAGTCAAAATGGCATCTTCAGTTAAGGCTGCCATCTTCATTTTCTCCCCTCAGGTGTCTCAGGCTTTCCTGCTGCAACACATTTTGATCTTGATTAAGTGTCAAAGGATGTTGTGTTTTGAATTAAAGCAGACTTTCCTGACCTTGGCAAGTTTAAGTTGCATGGACTTCAGCTTTCGGAATTCCTTAGCCAGCCATGCTGGCTGGGGAATTCTGGGAGTTGAAGTTCACAGGTCTTAAAGTTGTCAAGGTCAGGAAACTCTCAATTAAAATGTACTTTGCAGCCAATTCAAGCACATCTCTAGGGCTCACAAAGCACCTATCGACTGAATTGTATTTAGTGGCCACCGATGATGGGAGTTGTAGTGCTGACAGATCTGGAAGGCCACAGTTTCACCATTGTGGCCTTAGGATCCAAAGGCCACTGAAAGATTTTTGTCAAGGCTGGCCTACATCTCCTTGTAGAGAAAGACATCAGGGCAAACCGGAGTCCGATTAACACCCACAGCAACATCACCAAGGACATCCCCAGGGAGGGTCAAAAAAGTTCAAGATGGCAGCAGCAGCAGCTACATGATGCGTGTAAAAAGGGGACGGGGTTTCCCTCATAAAGTCACGCCTGCCATTTTGATTTTTTATAATCCTCCCTGGCCAGAGCCAGATGCAAAAGTCGATGGAATTATAGATATAATGAGACCAAAAAGAGAGAGACCAAATCAAGATTTTCTGTTATGATAACCTATAACAACAGAGTTGAATTTTAGCACACCTTGGGCACCTGGTTCCTCACCTACAAATAGTTCTCACTTAACGATTGTACAATGTTACAACAATTACATATGACCCATTCTCAAAGTTATAACTACTGCACCTCTGTTGCAGTCACGTGTAACATTTGGGGAACCTGGCAATCAGCTTGCATTTACAACCTTTTACAATGTCCTGCATTGCATGACAACATTTTAAAATGTTTTCTTTTCCATTTTCCAGCCAAAAAAAGATGCATTGGATATGCTGGATTCGCTTAACAACCACTTGATTTGCTTAATGACTATGGTGACTCATTTTACGAGCATTGAACAAACTGGTTCTAAAATTGAGTTAGATCATGTGTTAGACCATTTAACAACCAGAAAGAACAAAATTCCGGGCCCAATTGTGGTTGTTAAATGAGGACTACCTATAGACTACCTCAAAGGGCTGATGTTGAGGAAAGTGGGCTGTGACACAGAGAAAATCTAGATATTTTGGCTCAAAAGATTCATGTTTCATTTGGAGATGGGATTCAGCAGTGTCCCCAAGGTCAAAAAAGTCAAGATGGTGGCTACACTTATACTACTGAGCCCCTTCCCTCCATTGTAAAAAGAGGCAGAGCGTTGATCACAGACTTCCCTGCAGATTGAATCCTCTGGACTGAAAGTTTCCCATTTAAGGTGAAAATATTCCTTTCCTTCCATTGCTTTGTTCTGGGAATATTCAGTTTGCCTTTCAAAGCTGCATCCAGCCTCAGACAAATGTTACTAAAAAAAAATTTTTTTAATGTGACCAAAAGAGATATTATTAAATGCTTGGGGAATTTTAGTCAGGTAATTTAAATTATGTTTGAATGAAAAATAAATGTAGATCAAGTGGACTTTGCTAACAGAGGGCCTTGTGCTTCCCGAGATAAAGAGAGCAAACTACCAGATTACTATTTATATGGGTTGCCATATCCTTCATGGCCATCAGATGGCAGCAAACAGCAAACCCAAGCACCTTCCTGCCATCTAGTGGGTTATGTGAGTTTTGCAACCTAGATATGCTAGTGCTAAGAACAAGAACAATACAGAATTTCTAATAAAATTTAAGCAAAAGAAGAATTGAGGAGAATTGGGAAAGCATCACTAGATCTAATATCTTCACGATCTGTTTTAAGATCATGCTCCAGACTTCCTAGAGCCAGTATATATTCATGTGAATGTAGCTGCTGGGCCGGGCAGCATCTGTTTTAATAGCCCAAGATTGTGCTATGTCAGAGCTGTGGGGCATGGTGGGAAATTCATAACACCTTGGAGCAGCACTTGTCAACCTTAGCCATTTTAAGATGTATGGACTTCAGTTCCCAGAATTCCTCAGCCAACCAGTCAAGCTGAAGTCCATGAATCCTAAAGCTGCCAAAGTTGAGAAACATGTACTATGTTTCTTCCCCATCCTAACGATGCTTCAAAGAAGCAATAGAATTAAAAATGAGATCAGAAAGGCGGCGGGGTGGGGTGGGGCTTGAGGCTAAAGGAGAAAAGACTAGTTCATGGAGAATCCCAGACCATGTTCGAAGAAGAGCTCTGTTTCCCTGGAAGTCTTTGCATCCTAAGGAACTTAGTTTCCTAGCTGGTTTATGCAACGGGTGTGTGAGAATGGCCTTGGGAGATGGAAATGGAGCCACAGAAACCATTTCCGAAGGTTTCTGTCCTTCTGTGGACTGGGACATCTTTTACAACCTGGTTATCCAGTTTGTAACTCTCCCTCTTATCTGCCAAGGTCATTCCCATATACTAGGGGGTCACCCAACTCGGCAACTTTAGGAATTGTGGACTTCAACTCCCAGAATTCCCCAGCCAGGCATATCTCAGGGCACTTATTTTCTTAAAAGTGGGAATGGCAGATGTCATTCATCCCTGGAACAGACGGCAATTGAATAGAATCAGCCTCGCCTTTTCCCCTTAAATTAGGGGTCTCAAACTCAATTTCATTGAGGGCTGCAGCAGGGTTGTGTTTGACCTCAGGAGGGCTGGAGGGGTGCATGGCCGTGGTGGGCGTGGCCAGCTCGACGTCACTCATCGACGCTCCGTTTTCGGCTGTGACGGCCTCCTGCAGCCCTCTGCCAGTGAAAATGGAGCTCAGGGGGGATGCGCACAGCCTCCCTATGCTCCATTTTCACTGGCAGAGGGCTGCAGGAGGCTGTTGCAGCCAAAAATGGAGCCCGGGCAGGCCACATATGGCCTTCCTGAGCTCGGTTTTTTTCTGGCAGAGGGTTGTAGGAGGCCGTCATGGCTGAAAATGGAGCCCGGGCAGGCCACACATGGCCGTCCCAAGCTCCATTTTCACTGGCAGAGACACCGCGGGCCCACCTAAGCACCCCGCAGGCTGGATCCAGTCGGCAGGCCTTTGAGTTTGACACCGCTGCCTTAGATAAATCCTTTCAGACGGTGGCTAAGTAGCAATAAGAGAGAACTGGCAGCAAAAGGAAATCTTTTAAACCAGCTTTGTTCAATTCAGTTGCCTCCAGATAGACTGGACGACAGTTCCCATCCCCTGATCAGGCCCATGCTGGCGGGACATCAAAACCTTCGGAGGAGGCAAGATCGGCCGCCTGACTCTTGTGCTGAGAAAAACGTCTTCCCTTTTCTCTTCTAAAATTACGCAAATTTTTGCTCTTCTTTTGTTAATTTGTAGAAGTTTCTAATGTGGGGAAGGGAGAGAGGCTCGGGGTGAGGTGCAGGCTGAGAAGACCGAAGCACAACCAGCTTTGCCTGAAGTGGTGTAGGGGTTTCCTGCCTGGGCAGGGGGTTGGATTAGAGGACCTCCAAGGACCCTTCCAACTCTGTGATTCTATTCTATGCTATTCAAATGCTGAACGGAATGAATTAGCAATTATGGCCATTCAGGACTGCATTGCGTCCAGCCAACTCTCCTCCAATCACTGGGCAATTGATTGATTGCCCCTCTGAATTTTAAGCCCCCGTTTTCCAGAAGATCTTTGCAACCAAGACGAGCTTTTGCAACTTCTCTTTTAAAAAGGAGAGCTAATTCTCAGAAATCTGGGCTTTGTGCCCCAATTTTGCTGCGGGGTGGGGAGGGGGGGAGCCATGGGGAACCTGATTGGAATCAATTCATTTATGTTTTTAAGTGCCAGGTTTCATGAACGCCTAGTGGGTATGCACTGCACGCAACTGTGCCATCCTGCAGCCGGGCCCTGGGAAGAGATACAAGAGGGGAAGAATTCCCATCACACATGGATCCCCGTCACATCCTGGATGGCTGAGGAAGATGGGGGAGGGAGGGGCTGGAGATATGGGAAGGGGAGGGGGGGGGGGTTGTCAAAGCTTGTGCTTCCATTGGGGTCAGAGGTTAAAAGTAGTTGCTGCCATCCTCTGCCCAGTCCAGCTTTGGACGCTGCTTCTGGTGTTTCCTCCGGTCCTTGCGCGATTTGCGATGGTGGTGCTGCCGGCGCTGGCGGTGGTGACGATGGTGCCGCCGAGTTCTGTGGGACCGTCGGGCTGCAAGGAATCAACAGCCAGGAGAAACGGAGGCATTAGTCACTCAGCCCAGACTAGGTGGTCAATGCAACAAGGAGTAGCTACCACCCACAGTTCTACATGAAGGTAGTCCTCGTTTAACCATTGCCTCATTTAGTAACCATTGGCAATTACGGTGGTGATGAAATAAATAACTTTGCAACCAGCCCCTTGCCTTTATGGCCTTGGCAGGTCTGCAAAGCCACGGGAAGCTGAACTACGATCATAAACATCACTGCGGTTTCACAGAGCAACCTTTTCATTTAATGGCTGAGCTGTTGTTGCCCATTGGAGTTGCTAAACGAGGACTGCCTATACCCAACTTTTCTAAAAGGCACGGCCTGCACAAACATTACACATCAAGAGCCAGTTTGACAGAAGGGCAAAACTGCCAGACCAGAAGCCAGGAGATTCCGAGTTCTATTCTCTCCATTGGTAGGAAAGTCGGCTGGGTGACTTTGGGCTGGTCCCTCTCTTCTAGCCTGTCCCGCCCCACAGGACTGCTGTAGTGGGAAGAGGAGGCAGAAGCCTTATGAGCGCCAATTGCAGTTGTACAAGCAAAAGTGGAATATAAATCAAATAAATAAGAAACTCACTGATCCATATCATATATTCGTTTATCCTCCTATATGTGTCCCAGTGCCACTCTCCCCCACCCCCAATATTTTTCTTTCTGACCTAGGTGTGAGCCCGCAGCTGCCTTTGGCTGATCTTGAAGGCAAGTCAGACTTGGTCACACCTTGAGAATGGGAGACCACTAGGAAATCCCATGACTATTGCAGCAGGAAGTAGAGAGAAGGACAGGGAAGGGGGGAGGGAGGGAGGGAGGAAAGAAGGAAGGAAAACAAGAAAGGGAGGGAGGGAGAGAGAGAAAAAACATGAAAGAGGCAGGGAGAGAGGAAGGATAACAAAGAAAGAGGGAGGGAAGGAGGAAAGGGAGGATCAAAAAGAAGAAGAAGGGAGGAAGGAAGGATAAAAAAACAGTTGAAGGAATTGAGGAAGGAAGGTACATCAACATGTTCATTTTTAAAAAAAACAAAAATTAAGCTGGTTTATTTGAAGGATTTATTTTTCCAGAACTTTTCTCCCTGTATCCACATACTCTGGTGCCCTTTTCCCATTCCCCCGTCCTGTCCCGTCCCGAATCTCACCTACCCAATTATTTTTTCACCCCAAGGAGCAAAAGAGCTCTCTCAGTCTGACCCTGGGAGTAGCTGGTACTTAGCGCGATGCTAAAAGTACCTTGAGCCCAGGGATGGGATTCCAACGGTCTAATGACCAGGTTCGGTGATTGCGCACTCTGTGCGCATGCTCCACATTTCAAAAAGCTTTTATATACTGACCTCCTTCTGCAGTCCCTGTGACTAAAACAGCTGAGGCGCGGCAAACTACTCTGCCCTGCGAATCAGCTGTGCTCTCACCAAAGGGAGTGAAGCGGGGGCGGGTGGGCTCGACATAGCGAACCGGTTCCCTGCCAGCTCATCTTGGGGGCAAGGGATTCGCCAGAAGCGGGCTGAACCACAAGAATCCCACCTCTGCACGAGCCCTTTCCCAGGTTTCCTTCTGCCCAGCCAAAGTGGGCAAGCGGGAAAGGGGAAGATTGAGATTTCTTAGCCTCTGAGCCAGCCACCCGTTTCCACCCTCATCTGTGAAAGGGGCGGCAGGAACTCACGTTTTGTGCAGAGGACTTTGGGGTTCTCCCACAGGCCGTTGACGTGACATTTGATGGTGGGCAAATGTCTTTGGAGGAAGCCTTCTGCGCACTGGTATCGGACGGTCGAGTGCACGCTGTACCTCTCCTTCTTCTTTCCGATGGGGGAGGCGTTTTCCACCAGAGGGGGCGGCCCACACAGCACTACAAAGACCATACAAATTGTAGACGGAAAGGCATAGAAAACCTCCCTTTGTCAACAGCCGGAGGACTGATTTCAAAAAGGCGGCCTTCTTATTACTGTGTTGTTTTTTTCCCTTTCAATTTTTCATTTTTTAGGCTTATGGTTTCCAGCTCAGGACAATTTATTATTTTCCTGGGACATTTTCACCCTATTTACTAGGAATCGCATTTTAAATTACCTCAGCATCCATTGGTGTCATAAGGCAACAATTCTACCAAGCTCTATTTAACCCTTGGGCGAGTGCTTTGGTGCCCCAGATGCACTATTGCCGCTTATAACTTCAATAAGCTCATAGTCACGCAACTCGCTCGCTTGTTACCTCCCTGATAGACCTTTGCTCGCTCCGGTAACGTTATCCGTTTCCTGAAGCCCGCAGCTGTAATAATAATTCTTTTTTAGTGACTCGCAAGGTCTGATTGTTCACGACTCCACTGACTTTGTGGAGATTGTCTTCTGGAAATGGGCAGAAAGAAAAAGTTCTACAGTAACGAACAAACATTGTCAGATTTTATACTCATCGTGTCTTTTGGAAATCTTTTCGAACTGATTGTCTAGGGCAGGAGTAGGGAAACTTGGCTCTTTTATCACTTATGGACTTCAACTCCCAGAATTCCTGAGTGAGCCATAAAAGAGTCTCCATCCCTGGCCTACTGGTTTTTCAGTTGTGGGGGAAATCAATTTTTAACTTGAATGGGACTGTTTAATAAACAAATGTAGGGCATATAAAGAATATATAATATATTAAACAGTCCCATTCAAGTCAAATATTGATTTCCCCCACAACTGAAAAACCAGTAGGCCAGGGATGGGGAAACTTTTATGGCTCCCTCAAGAATTCTGGGAGTTGAAGTCCATAAGTGATAAAAGAGCCAAGTTTCCCTAACCCTGGTCTAGGGAGATTCTCAGTCATCCAGGTCATGGTTGTCCCAAAGGCGATTTTTTTTTCATGAGGTAGCTGGACTTTCTGGTTTTTCTTTGAAGACGTTTCGCTTCTCATCCAAGAAGCTTCTTCAGCTCTGACTCAGAGTTGGTATTCAGCAGGTTCTGACCAGTTCTGGAGAACCGGTAGCAGAAATTTTGAGTAGTTTGGAGAACCGGCAAATCCCACCTCTGACTGGAGATTTTATAGTAATCTTCCCCTGCCATGCCCACCAAGCCATGCCCACAGAACTGGTAGTAAAAAAAAATGGAATCCCACCACTGCTCTGATTCCAACATCCAGTCAGAGCTGAAGAAGCTCTTCAAAAAAAGGCATCTTTGGGATTTTCGAACTGATGCATGACCCTCTCCTTTGATAGGAGCACCCTGTGTCCCCCCCGTCCCCCGAAGAAGCCTCTGAACTCAAGAACTGAGCTTGGCTAGTCTAGTGAAGAGAAGGACCAGGGGAGACATGATAGCAGTCTTCCAATATTTGAGGAGCTGCCACAGAGAGGAAGGGGTCCAGCTATTTCCTAAAGCACCTGTAGGCCAGACAAGGAATAATGGATGGAAACTGAACAAGGAGAGATTCAACCTGGAAATAAGGAGAAACTTTCTGACAGTGAGAAAAATCAACCAATGGAACAGAAGTTGTCCTCGGAAGTTGTGGGAGTGCCATCACTTGAGACTTTCAAGAAGAGACTGGACTCCCACCTGTCAAAAATGATGTAGGGTCTCCCGCCTGGGCAGGGGGTTGAACTAGATGACCTACAAGGTCCGTTCCAACTCTGATTATCTGTTTATCTGTTATCATTGCGTGGAGGGCCCTACAAGTCAGAATTGGACAATTCACCATGACCAACACCCCATAGCCAACTCATCATGGCCAATTAGCCACAGCCAATTCATCACAGCCAACTCGCCACAGGACAATGCAACAATTCAATTTAATTATTTAAAATAATTAAGAGATTATTTTAATTTTTGTCATCCACATTTCATTTTGTCCCTCCTTTGGCATCCTTTCTTTAATTATTCTATTCCACTATTTATTTGATATTAGTATAACTCTTGTCCCAGTGAGACTTGGCTGCAGAAAGTTGGCTGTGGCGAGTTGTCACAGATCCCCTAACACACAGTCCTCGGTTTATGAGCACAATAGAGCCTGGAATTTGGTTGTAAGTTGATAGCAAAACAAGAAGCAATGAATGGAAACTAATTAAGGAGAGAAGCAACCTGGGAATAAGTCATTGTGGTCGTTAAGTCGATCACCTCGTGACTGCTTTTACAGTGAGTCACTGCAGTCATTAAGTGAATCACATGGTTGTTAAAGGAATCCAGCATATCCAATGAGCGGTTTTTGGCATCTCCTGCCAGGAAACAGCAAAAAGAGATTGGAAAATATGGTCACAGGACTTCAAGATGCTGCAACCTATCGTAAATACAAGCTGGTGACCAAGCACCTGAAATGTGATCACATGACCATGGGGGAGGGATTTGGCAGTTGTAACTTTGAGGATGAGACGTAAGTTCAAGAAGTCCTCAACTTACCACAACTCATCTAGTGACTGTTCAAAGTTACAACAGTAATGTAAAAAGTAACTTATGACCGTTTTTCACACTTAACGACTGTTGCAGCATCCCCATAACTCATAGTTATGGCGGTTGCAGTGTCCCGGAGTCATATGATCAGCTTTTGCAACCTTCTGACAAGTAAAAGTCAATGGGGAAGCCAGATTCACTTAACAACCGTGTTACTAACTTAACAACTGGAGCGATTCACTTAACAACTGTGGCAAGAAAGGTCTTAAATTGAGGAAAAATTCACTGAACAAATGTCTCTCTTAGCAACAAAAATTTTGGGTTCAACTGAGGTTGTAAGTCAAGGACCCCCTGTAACATTTGTTGAGTCTGTCGATTTTGAGCGGTCATTAAGCCACCAGCTGTTAAATGAGGACGACCTGCTAACACTGATGTTGATACCTAGTTGGGTAATGAAGGAAAACAGCCAAGCTCAGAGAGCACCAAGGACCCCACGTGTTCATACTATTGCCAAAAAAAAAAAAAAATGACATTAAAGTGTCCCTGTAAGTCACCAGAGACACTGGATTTGAGGTTGCCTTCACTATTTTCCTCCTGACTCTGTTCTCTAGTTCTGCGTTCAGTGATGCTGATTGAAATTTGAAATTGCTCTGCGTTATAAAATACAATGAGGGAACAAGATGAATCTCTGCCTCAGAAGGTTTACAATCTGTGTTTTAATGCATTGTAAGAGATGTAGGAGAGGGAACCACATCAGGGCTAGGCTGCTGGGGGTTTGCAGAGGTTTGGGAGATCCCCTAGCTAAGACTCTGCACAGTCTGGAGAACCCCCAAATCCCACTCCTGGGTGCCCTTCCCTGCCCCCCACTATTTTTTGCCTTCCTGGGCCCCAGGGAAGCTTCCTGGGAGCAAAAATGCCCCCCTGGAGGCTCCCCTGAGGCCCAGGAGCCCCCAAAACGGAGCGCAGGGGGCTGCTGCGTGCCCAGAAGCCCCCAAAATGGAGCACAGAGGGGTGCTGGAGGCTTCCCTGAGGCCCAGAAGGCCCAAAAAATAGGGTGGAGGGGGTTGCTGCAAAAAAGGCCACGCCCACCCAGTCACAGGGCCACGCCCACCTAGCCACGCCCACCGAACCAGTTGTTATAAAATTTAAATCCCACCCCTGCGGGTAAGTGCAGGGTGTGCGCGGAGGCTCACGGAGGGCAAAAAACGGGCTTCCCGGAAGTTCAAAAAGGCTGGAAATGGGCCCGTTTCTGGCTTCCAGAGAGCCTCTGGAGCCTGGGGAGGCCGTTTTTGCCCTCCCGGAGGCTCGAGGAAAGCCTCCGGAGCCCGGGGAGGGCAAGAATGCCCCACCGCTGTGGTGCAGGAGGCCAACTAGGCGACACCCCCCATGGCCACGCCCACCAGCAACCGGGCAGAGAACCCCCGTTGCTAACATTTTTGAAGGCCACCCCTGAACCACATCCGTTACAAATCTGGCTTTAAAGGAAGCAACAGCCTGAATTCTGAAGACCCACCCAAGGGGTTTTCTTTCTGCTTAAGCGATTTATTTATGTCTTCAGATGTTCTAGGACCTTTTATAAACCCAACCGATGCCAAAGGGGCCCATTTGGGGGTGAAGTTGTATTCCAGTACTTGGGGTACATGGGGGATGTGGGGTTTCTATGTTTAAATTAACAACTTTTCTCAGAGCTAATATATCATTAGCCCTGGAAAACGGAAGACCCATTTCTCAAGCCTGTCACAAACAGCTGGAGGTTAATGTGACTTTTCCAACAAGCAACTTGGAGGGTCTTAATAGTTTTAATGGGAGAATTTCAAAGGCAAATTAACATAAGTGGGAGAAAACAGCCCCCCAAAGAGGCTCATTTCGTTTCTGCCTCCACCAGCTAAAAAACAGAGAAATTAGGACCCCTGAGTAAGGACACCCAGGGTTTTTTTTGAAAAAAAAACAAAAACAAAAAATCTGATGTGGGGAAAGCCACAGCTTTAGTTAACCTTTTTTTTTTCCCTTTTCTTTTTAAAGAAGCTGTTACATAGGAATTAAGCGTGGTATAAAAAAAATAATCTCATTTCAACTAATCCTTGGGGTATTGTCAGGAGTGGGCTTCAAAAATTTTAGCAAAGGGCTCCCTGCCCAATTGCTGGGTGGGCGTGGCCATGGTGGGCATGGCCTAGTCGATCTCCTGCACCACAGGTGTGTGTGTGTTTTGCCTTTCCCAGGCTCCAGAGGCTTTCCTTGAGCCTCCAGGAGAGCGAAAACAGCCTCCCCAGGCTCCGGAGGCTCCCTGGAAGCTGGAAACAGGCCCATTTTCCAGCCTTCCCAAACTTCCAGGAGGTCTGTTTTTCGTCCTCCCCAAGCGTCCCGAAGCCTCAGCGCACTTATCTCACTTCCAAAATGGCCGCGTTGGGACTCCGGGGAGGGGAGGGGTGGGCGGGGCCAGCCAGGGGTGGGATTTGGGGGTTCTCTGAACTACACAGAATCTTAGCTGGGGGCTCTCCTGAACCCCTGCAAACCTCCAGCAACCCACCCCTGAGTATTGTTTTATATTTCCTTCTTTTTTGAGCACTGGTAAAGTAACAATGGCCCCTTTTAAGACCTGTGGTCTCCAACTCCTAGAATTCCTGAACCAGCCATGCTGGCTCAGGAATTCTGGGAGTTGAAGTCCACGGGTTGTAAAGGGGCCATATTTTGTCTACCCCTGTTGTAGATACTCTTTTCACCAGGCTGAAACAGTGGCTTCTTCAACACACACACACCTTTCCACAAGGACAGGTTGAATAGAAATTAGAAGGCAAGGTAGGCAAGCTCAGAGACTGACAGCATTTGCTTCTAATATGGATAGTCCTCGATTTACAACCAGTCGAATTCGGCCTTTTGACTTACAACCTGTGAGTTTGAAGTTACAATGGACCTCCTTGGGGGATACTTAACAATTTGGATTCAAAGTTCTGACAGTTTCAAACACACACCCCAATCATGTGGTCACTTCGGATAGTAAGCAACTGGCCTGCATTTATGGACATTTGCAGCATCCTGCCATCATGTAACAGTGCTTTAGGATGGTTTCACTGAAAACCAGCATTGGCTTCCAGGTTTTTTTGCAAAGCCGCATGCACCTCCATAGTAAACCATTGGTTCGCTTAACGGCTGTAGCATTCACTTAATAACCGTGGATTTGTTTAATCATTGCTGTAAAGAAATCATGTTTAATCATGTTGGTCACAGGGGAGACCTGATTTACGACCAGAGGTGGTATTCAGGAGGTTCTGACCAGTTCTGGAGAACCGGTAGTGGATATTTTGAGTAGTTCAGAGAACCAGCAAATGCCACCTCTAACTGGCCCCGCCCCCATTTATTCTCTGCCTTCTGAGTCCCAGCTGATAGGCTGGGTCTTCTTTGGTTGCCCTGCACAGGAGAACAGAGCTGGAAAGCAGGTTAGTGGGGTGGGGAGGGAATGGGGATTTTGCAGTATCCTTCCCCTGCCCCGCCCATCAAGCCACGCCCACCAAGCCATGCCATGCCCACAAACCGGTAGTAAAAAATTTTGAATCCCACCACTGTTTACGACCATTGTGAGTTATGAGCACAATGGGCAAGCTCTATTATGGTCATAACTTTAAAACTTTCTCTATTTGGATCTGGGCTTCTTTTTCACCCAATAGCTGATTGCAATGTAGGATAGGGTCAGAGAACATGGAGGTGAAACTGAAGAGAATAGGTGATAATATATGAAACAGCCCAGGAAAACAGGAAGTTGTGAAAAAGAAACTGAAGATTGCTCCACCTTGAGTCGTTTTAATACAGGTAGCCCTCAACGTACAACCATAATGGAGCTTCCCAACTAAGATTGTAAGCTGTGACAATAGTAAAGTAGGTCACCACATGACAGGACCTGTTTTTATGACCTCTGTAGTGACAGTTGTTAAACAAAGACTACAATCATAAAGTGAACCCGTTGTTCACCATGGGCTATTTTTGCTTTTGTAGAAGTAAATGCTGTTTCGGGGCAAAACCATTGTAAATTACAGTCATGTAAGCTTGGGACACTGGGAACAGTAAATGCGGGTTGGTCACTGTATACCCAAAATGTGGTCATGTGACCCCAGGGAGGGGGAACGCAGCTAACAGGACCGTTCACAAGAACCTCTTGGGTGGTCTGTCAGAACGGTCTTTAAGTGACCGGTCATAAATTGAGGACTACCTGTTTAAAGAGGGGAACAAGAAATGATGGGCTGCCAAAAAATACATGATCCTGTGAGCAACAGCCAATGGGGTTTCTTCAAGTTTGTCCTAAGGAAAGAATTAAAAGAAAAACCCACAATGGATGCCTTTTTTTGCAGACTTGCGGTATTTACCTGTATCTTTTTTGCAGACGTATGGAAGTTTGTAGTTACACGGCACATCGTTCCATTTGCCAGTCTCGTGGGACACCAACACCACACAATCCTCGCCACCGGCAAAGAAATTATCTGGCTGGTTTTCACGCCAATTCTCGTATTGCTAGCAAACAACAAAGAATGACACGGAAATTAAAAAAAAATAGTTCCCAAGATTGCACCTTCGTTGCCTCTTCCTTTTAATTTTTTTTTGTTCTGGATCAGGGATGTCCAATCTTGACCATTTTAAGACTTGTGGATTTCAACTCCCAGAATTCCCCAGCCAATTGTCTAATCTTGGCCACTTTAAAACTTTGGACTTCAACTCCCAGAATTCCCTAGCCAGCATGGGAGTTGAAGTCCACAAGTCTTAAAGTGGCCAAGTTTGGACGTCCCTGATTTCTAGTTCATGCACGCCACAAAAGGAATGGTGCTTGCATTGCATCAGCACAGTGCTGCTTTTATAATTTGCTGCTTGGGTTGTGTACCTCCCCGGACACCACTATTCTAGTGAGAAAATGTCTTGTTTCATTTCCACCACATAAGTGGTTTCTAAGGGGTTTTAGCAAAAAAGTTAAGGTAGCAACACAAAGAGTAGGATCGAAGCTTTGCCAGGTTTTTTAATGTGTGTTGCACGTAAAATATCCAACTCACATAAAAACAGGCAGTTGTGGTTCCCATCTTTTATTTGTAATGATTTTATTGTAATATCTTTGATTGTTGCAGAGTGGTTGAGAGTGGAAAATCAATTTTTGCCATGCATTCCAGTATTCTGTCCATTGATTACAGCTTGCTATTGATTCAGGTAGAGCTTTTTCATGGCCCTTTTTAAAGCTCAAATCTAGGAACAGTTGTCTGAAAGGGAGGGAGTCTAGCTTGGTGTGATCTGTTGCATGTTGCAACAGATGCCAGGCACCCACATTATATTGATGTATTGATTTATAAAATTTATATGGCCGCCCACTCACTTTCAGTGACCCTAGGCAGCTTACAATCAATAAAAATATGCAAATATGCAAAGAATAAAAATAATACCACCCCCCCCGGCCATGCACACACACACACACACACACACGCTTTTGAAATAGGGTTCAAAGGAATTCTTTGGGATAAGATTGAAAAATACTAGGAGTGTATTCCACCCATGCACAAGAATCTGAGCAGATAAGAGTCGTTGCAGAATAACCAAGTTGGAAGGGACCTTGGAGGTCTTCTAGTCCAACCCCCTGCTGAAGCAGGTTATCCTATGTCATTTCAGGCACGTGGCAAACAAGTATCTTCTTTTTTTAATAAAAGTTTCTTTTAATTGTTTTTATTATTATTAAAGAGAGAGAGAAAGAGGGAGGGAGGGAGAGAGAGAGAACCTCCCCGCCAGCCCTCCAAGGTTAGATTGGATCTCTCTCTCTCTCTCTCTCTCTCTCTCTCTCTCTCACATACACACACACACACACACAGGTCCCTCTTACCCACCCCCCTCCAAGGCAGCCACATTGCTAACCTGCTTTTCAGCTCTGTTCTCAGGGAGAGAGTCTCTCTCTCTCTCTCTCTCTCTCTCTCTCTCTCTCTCTCACACACACACACACACACACACACAGAGACAGAAGTCCTTCATACCCCCCACACCCCTCCAATGAAGCCACATTCCTAACCTGCTTTTCAGCTCCCTTCTCAGGGAGAGAGGGAGAGGGAAAGGGAGAGAGAGACTTTTGGCTTCATGCAAGGAAAACAGCAGAAGCAGCAGAAGTCTTTCTTTCTCTCCCCCAAACTCTGCCAGAAATGAGTCTTTGCCAGTGCAGCCTCTTGGAGCAGGATGCCTTGCAGGGTCCCAAAGACTCATTTCTGGTGGAGTTTGGGGAAGAGAAAGAAAGACTTTTGCTGCTTTCCTTGCGTGCAGCCAAAAGCAGAAGAAGAAAGAAGTGGAAAGAAGCAGCCCAGTGGCCAGGCCCAGGTGCATGGGGCGAGTGGGGCAAGTTCCCCTCCTCTGCCCTTTCCCCCCCTCCCCTCACTACCTCATGTTGTTCACAATGCAAGCAACGCAAGCCTTGTGTTCCCACAGGCCATGTGGGCGGCGCAGCCTTGTGTTTCCGCGCAGCCTGGATTAATTGCTTTGGGGGTGACATTTCTCTGCGGACCATCAAAATTTTCTCGCGGACTACCAGTGGTCCTCAGCCCAGCTGTTGGCGACCATTGCTTTGGAGAATATGTTGAACCTCTCTTCTTTGTGGCAGCCCCTTTAGATTTTGGAAGACTGCTATCAAGTCATCCCTGACAAAGTCAACTGACTTCAAGGGGGGTCTGGATTTAGGTTTCTTACAGGAGTATATAGATTCCAAACTCATGATGTGTTTGATCGGACTCAGCCTGGTCATCTCCTATTTGGGAGCTCCAGTCTTGGCTGCTTGAATTGCCAAGACACAACCCAGAGACTTTTGGCACTCAAAAAAAGTGCAATGACCCAGACCGAATCTCCTCTTCCATAGACTCACCAATCCGGTATTGTCCGTCCACTGGAAATCCTGTTCCACGATGCGATCGTTGAGGCCGATCCAAGTGTTCTCGTGGCCAAAACCTGAGGGGGAGAAGAACTTGGGAGTAAGAAAAATGCATGTCTCAGAAGCTTGAGTTCTTCCTGGATTATTGATTTCCTTCACTGATCAGCAGCTGTCTATAGGCCGCTCCAATATTCCAAATGGGGTTTGGTGGATTGGATGGGATTTTGAAAGGAAATGGCCTTGTGAGATGGTGCGTATGTGTTTGTGTGTCTGTGTGTGTGTGTCCTTGTGTGTACAACCTGCACAATTGCAAGGACTGCATATCAGGATTGCTAAAACAAAACAAGTAGTAGATGGCAGCAAATAGATACAGAACCTCCTGACTCTTTGCTGCCATCTGGAGGTGATTGGCATCACTACTCAGTAAAGTAAAGGTAAAGGTTCCCCTCACACATACGTGCTAGTTGTTTCCGGCTCTAGGGGGTGCTGCTCATCTCCGTTACAAAGCCGAAGAGCCAGCGCTGTCCGAAGACGTCTCCGTGGTCATGTGGCCAGCATGACTAAATGCCAAAGGTGCACAGAACGCTGTTGCCTTCCCACCAAAGTGGTCCCTATTTTTCTACTTGCATTTTTAACATGCTTTCGAACTGCTAGGTTGGCAGAAGCTGGGACAAGTAACGGGAGCTCACTCTGTTAGGTGGTGCTAAGGATTCGAACCGCCGAAATGCCAACCTTTTTGATCGACAAGCTCAGCGTCTTAGCCACTGAGCCACCATATCCCTCACTACTCAGTACTGCTCTACAAAAAACTTCCCTCCCTCCCCTCTAAGGTGTGGTTGCAGCATGTGGGAAAGACCCTGGGACACAAGGCGGAGAGACCACTTCCAAAGGAAGAGTAAGACAAATTATTTTTGGGGGGTGCATTTTTTTCTATTCCTCTAAAACGAGGGTCCTTTCTTTCTGTTTGTTGACGAAATGCAGGGGTGGGATTCTACCGGTTCGCCCCTATTCGCTAGAACCGTTTGTTAACCTTCTAAGCAATTCGGAGAACCAGTTGTTAGAAGAAATTACTGGCCTAATCCTGTAAGGAAGGCAGGAAGGAAACATTCTGGTGTTGCTTACAGAAACTGCCTCTCCGTTAACCCTTATTACATTCTTGGCAGGACTAGACTTCCTGTCTCAGGAACTTCTCTGGAATTTTTTTTCCTCCTTTGTTAGTACTTTGCTTGTGTGGAGTGATCATTCAAAGTTACAATGGCACTAAGAAAAGTGACTTATGACCGTTTTTCACACTTATGACTGTTGCAGCATCCCCACAGTCATGAGAGGCCAGGTGAGGAGATGCTTGTCTTGATGTGATTGATATTGAGTTGGCCACGCCCACCAACTGAGCCACGCCCACAGAAACGGTTGTTAAAAAAATTGAATCCCACCCCTGGCGAAATGGGATTATCAATCCACGCATTGCTACCCAGTGTTCAATTCACATGAAACTGCAGCTAGCCGTAAACTAGTAAACTTGCTCAGAGAGGGCGTCCTCTCATGCTGTGGCTCCTTTCTTCCCTTCTTCTCCCAGATCTCCAACCAGGCGTGGGCTGCTGGGGGTTCACAGGGGTTTGGAAGGGCCCCTAGTTGTGCAGTTCGGCGAACCCCCAAATCCCACTCCTGGCTGGCTCCACCCTATCCACCCCACCCCTTCCCAGGAGTCCCCACATGGCCCATTTTGGGTGCAAGTAAGTGCAGGGTGCGCATGGAGCCTCGGGGAGGGCAAAAAACAGGCCTTTTGGAAGTTTGGGAAGGCCGGAAACGGGCCTGTTTCTGGCTTCCAGAAAGCCTCTGGAGCCCGAAGAGACTGTTTTTGCCCACCCAGAGCCTTGAGGGAAGCCTCCGGAGTCCGGGGAGGGCAAAAACGCCCCCCGCCACCCACTGTGGTGCAGGAGGCCGACTAGGCCACACCCACTATGGCCACGCCCACCCAGCAACCAGGCAGAGAGCCCTTTGCTAACGTTTTTGAAGCCCACCCTTGGTTCCTACTTACTGCTAATGAAGTTATGTTCTTCCCAGGAATGAATGCTGGTGAGGTGTCCTGACCGACGTCGGCAATCCCTCTCCGCGTCTTCCCATGCGCGCCGATGGGCAAAGTAGCGATAGCAGTGACCCTGGAACTTACGCCATGTGTGATCGCAGCCTTCTGTGTCTGGAGGGAGGAAAAAGCATCTAATGGGGCACAACGAAAAGGTCAGCTTTATCTTCTTTTTAATGAGCGTGCCAATTTGCAGCTGACAAACGGAAGAGCTGTTGGAAGATATTATCGCGCCAGGAAGCAGCCTGTTCACTTACGGCATTTTATGGTAAGTGAAACCGGAGTAGGATGAAAAGAACTAATGACTCTCACCCTGCGTGAGTGCTAGAGAGGTTACAGGTAGTCCTTAACTTATAACCATCCGTTTAGTGATCGTTCGAAATTACAACAGCACTGAAAGAAGTGTCTTGTTATGACCGGTTTTTGCACTGACGTCCGTTGCAATATTGCTAAGGTCATGTGATCAAATTTTGGGCACTTGGTTATACGCCTATATCTATGATGATCGCCCTATCCTAGGGCGATGTGATCACTACTTGCGACCTTTCTCATCGGCTTCCGACAAGCAAAGTCAATGGGGACAGCTGAATTTATTTAATGACCGCAGGATTCACTTAATAACTGAAGTGGTTCGCTTAACAACTGGCATAAAAAGTCATACAATCAACAACAACTCACTTAACTAATCCCCTTGCTTAGCAATGAAAATTTTGTTGCCAGTTGTGTTCATGACTCATGGACTACAAAAAGATCTTAGAAAAAGAGCCAGTTTGGTGAAGTAGTTAAGATACTAAGCTAGAAACTAGGTGATTCTGATTTCTAGTCCTGCCTTGGGAAGGGGATTGGGCCAGTCCCTCTTTCTCAGCCCTAGGAAGGAGACAATGGACGGTTCCTCTCCCCTTCACTCTAGTCCCTCCATCTCTATATGGGGTTGGATTTGTGGGATTGCCTGTCTCTGGTCATCATTTCCCAATCTACATGGTCTTCCAAGCCAGCCATGTAACAGTAGACTTCTCCATCGATATCGTTGTCAGGGTTCTGGCAATTACCCTAATGAAATCATGAGCCTCGAGCCAAGTTTCAAAAGAATTCAAAAGATTTATTAGGAAGAACATGTCGGCATTAACCTAAATGAAGCCAACTCTGGCATAAGTAATTTACAGTCACCTATGACCCTGTTTCCCCCCTCCCCCCCCCGGGCATATCATAAATCAGATTCTCCAATGAAGCACATTCACGGGCTGGGTGTCATCAATCACGTTCTCCAATGAAGGATTTTCTCGGGCAGAAGATCCGGTAGCCTAGCTACAATCTTTGTAAGATAAGTGTGAAATGTACTTCTGGTTTTAAACTGCCGTACTGCTCTTTTAGATCCCCCCCCCCCCCCCGTTTATGGCAACTCAAAAACAGGCATAGGAATGTTTTACGAGTTGGAAATCGTCAGACAGGACTTAGGACGCCTGCTGTTCTTGACAGTATCCAACCTGAGGAATACTTTCCTCCAATTTGTGCTGACAGAGGAGTCCATATAGAGAATAGGGTTTGACGCTTTTGGTAAATGAGGGCTATATCTAAGAATAGTACGTAAAATCATACATTGCAATGTCCTACCTGTCAATGAATACTTCAGCTTCAACCACAACAATACAAGAGCAAACAATAGGTACAAACTCAAGGTAAACCGCACCAAACTTAATTACAGGAAATACGACTTCAGCAACAGAGTGGTCAATGTCTGGAATACTCTACCTGACTCTGTTTCTTCCCCAAACCCCAAAAACTTTAACCTTAGACTGTCTACTATTGACCTCACCCCTTTCCTAAGAGGCTTGTAGGGGGCGTGCATAAGCGCATCAACGTGCCTACCATCCCTGTCCTATTATTTCTTTTTATTTTTCTTATATGTATCCATTTCAGGGTTAATGGGGAGGCAGTTTCTGTAAGCAACACCAGAATGTTTCCTTCCTGCCTTCCTTACAGGATTAGGCCAGGAATTTCTTCTAACAACCGGTTCTCCAAACTGCTTAGAATGTTAACAACCGGTTCTAGCGAGTAAGTGCGAACTGGTAGAATCCCACCCCTGGGTAGGGTCCTCAAGAGAACAGTGACCTGCCTGTAATCCTTGCCTTGTATTTCATTCAGGTGGATAGATGAAACTTTGCTATTGTGTTATTAGCAGCCTCTAAAGGCCACTTCGGAGGGAAGGAAATAGGCTGTCAAGGGCCACATTGGATTAATGGCCTTCTTTCTCTCTGGCTGCTGAGCTGGTAATTTCCCACACAAAGGGAATTTTTCAGCTGGCAAGCAGAGCAGAAAAGAAATGGAGGCTGCCATCCTTCACTCTCACCTTCTCTCTGAGTCTGGAAGGAGTGTACGTGTGTGCCAGGCACAGTTGTGTTCTCTCTCAAAATCCCTGTGGTAGAACGAGGAAGCTCACGTTGGTAAAAATGCATGCCATTCCAGACTCTCAGAGTGACCACACACTGCCAAATTTTAGTCGTTTTGGATTCTGCAAACCATGATGCATTTGTTATCAACGCTTAGCATGTAGAATAAGAGTTTGGTTCAATTTAGTTTTTAAATTTTTAATCTATGTAGTTTTAATGTTTCAATATTTTAATTATTCTTTTAGGCCTTTTAAACTAATTTTTAACAGGGTTTAATCACCCTTGCTTTTTTTATTTTTATTTTAATTTTTATATGCCGTTTTTAGAGATTAATATGGAGGAGTAAATAAATAAATACTTATGCTACCAGGCTTGAAATTTTGGACCTGGACAACCTAGAACTACGCTGCCTACGGTCTGATCTAAGCTTAGTACACAAAATTGTCCGCTACAACGTCCTACCTGTCAACGACTTCTTCAGCTTCAACCTCAATAATACACGGACAAACAACCGATACAAACTCAAAGTAAACCGCTCCAAAGTCGAGTGCAGACAATACGACTTGAGCAACAGAGTGGTCAGTGCCTGGAACTCACTACCTGACTCTGTGGTTACATCTTCACACAAACCCCCAAAACTTTAACTTTAAACTGTCTAGCATGGACCTCACTCCAAGAAGTCTGTAAGGGGGCGTGCATAAGCGCACCAGCGTGCCTATTGTCCAGTAGTGGGATTCAAATATTTTTACTACCGGTTCTGTGGGCGTGGCTTGGTGGGCATGGCAGAGGAAGGATGCTGTAAAATCTCCAGTCCCTCCCCACCCCACGAACCTGCTTTCCAGCTCCTTTCTCTTGTGCAGGGCAACAAAAGAAGACCCAGCCGATCAGCTGGAACTCGGGAGGCAGAGAAGAGATGGGGTTGGCGGGGCCAGTCAGAGGTGATATTTGCCGGTTGTCCGAACTACTCAAAATTTCTACTACCGGTTCTCCAGAACTGTCAGAACCTGCTGAATACCACCTCTGAATCTGTCCCTGTCCTACTGTTCCCATTTATTCATACTCATTTATTATGCATATACTTATACCTGTTTATACTTATATGTTTATATGTTATGTTCATACTTATGCTTGTTTTCTCATACATGCTTGACAAACAAACAAACTAAATAAATAAACAAAACAGCAGGAATGTTTTCCTTCTGTGGTCTTATCAATGAACCAGCACTGATAAGATTGTTTGGATCTTTTCTTTTTTTTTTACTATCTAATTTTACTTTTTCAGTATAAGTATTTTTTAATAGACCTGTGATAGTCAGGCAACAAATTGAACTCAGAGACACCATGGCTGCCAACAACGCCAAGACAACTCAAGCTGAAAGACTTCAGCAACATAGTTATCAATGCCTGGAATGCACTACCTGACTCAGTGGTCTCTTCCCCAAACCAGAGGTGGTATTCAAGCAGGTTCTGACCAGTTCTGAAGAACCGGTAGAAGAAATTTTGAGTAGTTCGGAAAACCGGCAAATCCCACCTTTGACTGGCCTCGCCCCCATCTATTCTCTGCCTCCCGAGTCCCAGCTGATCGGCTGGCTCTTCTTTGGTTGCCGTGCACAGGAGAACAGAGCTGGAAAGCAGGTTAGTTGGGTGGGGAAGGGGGGTGGAAATGGAGATTTTTTTGCAGTATCCTTCCCCTGCCACGCCCACCAAGCCACGCCCACCAAGCAAAGCCATGTCCACCAAGCCACGCCCACAGGACCAGTTGTAAAAATTTTCTTGAATCCCACTACTGCCCCAAACTCCAAAAACTTTAACCTTAGACTGTCTACTGTTGACCTCACCCCATTCCTAAGAGATCTGTAAGGGATGTGCATAAGTGCACCAACGTGCCTACCGTCCCTGTCCTAATGTCCCCTTTTGTTTGTACCCATTTCATGTAATCAATAATCAGGTCCTAATTATACCTGTTACCTAATACATGCTTGACAAATAAAATAAATAAATAAAAGACTTTCTTCAGATGACACTGCAAGTAAGACTCCTTTTCTCTTTTCTTCCCCCTTCCCTCCCTCCCAACAAACAAACTTAGCTCTTTACTGAAATGGGAAGAAGGCGATTGCTTCTCTGTGGAGGAAGGAGTATAGTAGGAACTGGGGGGGACGGACACAAAAAACAAGAACAAGAATAATAGTAGGAGCAATTTTAAAGGAGACTTGGATTTGGTTGCCAAGGATGGCTTACTCCAAAGCCATGTGTTTTTTTTCTTTCTATAAAAAGAGGGTTTGTTCTGACCCAAACCTGGTTCCAAGGAAGCAAACACGAGATAAAAGTAACAGCACAACCTTTTCATGTTTCTTTACGAATCCCATTCCTTCACGGGTAAAAGGCTGCTTCAAACCAATTCGCTCCAATAAGAAAGAGCCTTGCCAAGGTTTTGCAAGGCTGCCAAGAACACCAGATAAAGTTACAAAGCAATAAGGCAAACACAAAGAGTCTCCAACACCGACTCAGATATTCCTAACGTCCACCAGGCTCAAGGGTAGAACTTCTTTGCCTTCTGCAAAGAACTGCGGTTTCTCAGCTGGCTTTTATCTCCTCTGGGAGGGGCCGTTACCTTGCAGCCTTTCTCCCGAGTCGCCTGTGCTGCAGCAGCTGCTCTTTCCTTTGAGCAGCCCTGCGTGCATGCGCGCTGGGCACAGGCTCCTCGGGGGCCTCTTCATCACTGCTGCCAGCCTCCACAATCTCCAAAGGCAGCACTCCACTCCCTGATGGTCCTGGCCCCATCCCTGCATCACAGGCAGGCCCCTCATCTGAGTCCTCACTCTCTGAGACCTCAGCCATCCGCATCTGCTGCTGGCAAACCACAACAGGATTCCGGATTCAATGGGCAGCTTCTGTCAGGGGAAATTGATGCAATATTCCCCTTTCAAACGATGTTTGAAGTCTGTTTGGGTTCGTACAGCTGACTTAACCACGTTGGTTCAAGATGTATTGGCTGCCTTTGCGCAAAGAACAAAGTTTGGCTGATAGTCAATAGGGTGCAGTGTGATGTGCCCATTTGATTAAGATTCAGTGAACACAGAAGGTGGACTAATTAACTGACCAAGATAATAGTGTGGGGTGGACTCAGCCATTTAGCAGTCTTGCCAAACCTATTAAATGCAGAGTGCAGTTAAGGAAACAAGATTCACCCAGACCTTCTTGAGTGAATTTTAATGCTAAGAATGAACGGTTAGAGTACAGAATCTGGAGAACTGTGATAGGAATCTCTCCTGTCCTCTAATAGGGAGGTCACTTAGTGTAGTTTATTGTCATTGCACCTCATACAATGAAATCAAACACCATCTTCAGTGCACATCATGACCATGAAAATAAACACAAACACACATCCTTCACACTCCACACATTGAATTGAAAATCCCAACACCACACCAACACTGCACTCTGCAATAGAATTCAACAGTGCTACTGCCCTGGGATAGAAGGGGTTTTTCAGCCTGTTTGTCCTTGTTTTTATTATCCTGTACCGTCTGCCAGATGGTAATAGTTCAAAAAAAAAAAAGGGTTCCCAGGATGAGATGGATCTTTGAGAATGTTTTGAGCTTTCTTAAGGCAGCGGGAGCTATAAAGCTCTTCCAAAGAGGGAAGAAGGCAACCCATGATCCTCTGGGCAATGACATTAACCCTCTGGAGTGCTGTCCTATCTGCCACTGTGCAATTGGCAAACCATACAGAGGTGCAGTAAGTTAAGATACTCTCTGTGGTGCAGCGGTAGAAGGTCACCAGCAGTTTTTCATCCAGTTGTTGTTTTCTGAGAAGTCTCAGGTCGTATAATCTCTGCTGGGCCCTTTTGACCAGGGCTGTAATGTGAGCACCTCAGGTCAGGTCTTCTTTTGGGGTAACACCCAGAACTTAAAACTTGTTCCACTTGTTCCACTCGGTCTCCATTGATAAGCAAGGTTTGGATGTCTGATCTGTTCCTTCTGTATAAGCTCCTTGGTCTTAATTGGTGTTGAAGACCAAGTTATTCTCTCCAATAAGGTGGAGCTTTCGAAACTTTTCGATCTTTTTTCCTCTGGGAGGATTGATCGATGGACTAAAAAGTGATTTACAGTCAGTCCTCAATTTACAACCACAGTGGGGACCACGATCTGTACAGATAGTTGACTTACAACAGTTCACTTAGTGACCGTGAAGTCATAATGGCACTGAACAATATGACTCATGACTGTTTTTCACACGTATGAATATGGCAGCATGCCCATGGATGTGTGATTTAACTTCAAATGCTTGACAACTGACTCACATTGATGATGGTTGCTGTGTCCCAGGGTCATGTGATCATCTGTTGCGACCTTCTGACAAGCAAATATCAATGGGGAATCCAGATTCACTTAACAACTGTGTTACTAATATAACAACTGCAGTGGTTCACTTAACAAACGTGGCAAAAAAAAATTGTAAAATGGAGCAAAACTCACTTAACAAATTTCTCACTTAGCAACATAAATTTTGCACTCAGTTATGGTCATAAGTTAAGGACTACCTGTTTTGCTAAGCAATAGTGAGTAATGCCCGATTTTATGATCTATCCCGCCGTGGCTGTTAAGTGCAGTTGTTAAGTGAATCAAGTGGATGTTAAGCAAATCCAGCTTCTCCTATTGACTTTCTTTGTCAAAATCCAGCAGGGAAGGTGGCAATTGGAGTTCACTCGACCACAGGATGCTACAAGCATCATAAACCCATGCCGGTTGCCAAGCAACTGAATCTATTCATACAAAACAAGGATGCTGCAGCGGTTGCAATTTTGAGGACTTTTTCAGTGCTCTTGTCACTTTGAATGATTGCTAAACAAATGATTGCAATTTGAAGATTCTCTCTCTCTCTCTCTTTGTATGTTTATACACGCATATATACATATACACATACAACTGACACATCTAAATACAAGGTACTGTCCTTGCCCACCTTCTCTGAGCTTGAAAAACAAAATAGGATGCCATTTGACTAAGGATGGGATAGGGGGCCACCAAGAGATCCTCTTGTCTCGACTCCTGACGAATGTATCTTTTCTTTTACATATACTGAAGAGTATTTACACCAAGACAAATTCCCTGTGTGTCCAATCACACTCGGCCAATAAAGTATTCTATTCTATTCTATTCTATTCTATTCTATTCTATTCTATTCTATTCTATTCTATTCTATTCTATTCTATTCTCTGTGGACTAGACTGCGAAGTTAAAAAAAAAAAGCCATCCAGTTAGATGGTGGCCACCACTTCCTTTACTATTACATTTAGGAGCCTCTGTGGCGCATGGTTAGAGTGCAGTACTTCAAACTACTTCTTCAGCCAGCTGCCAACAATTTGGCAGTTCAAATCCTACCAGGCTCAAGTTTGACTCAGCCTTCTATCCTTCCGAGGTAGGTAAAGTGAGGATTCAAATTGTTGGGAGCAATTATGAGAGAGGGTTGTAAAGCACCATAAAGTGGTATATAAGTCTAAGTGCTATTGCTATCACTATCTCCACGGAGGCAAACAGGATGGTTCTCCTCTTTATTTCAATGGCCATGAGTATCTACAAGGTTGGGGAATGTGACAACCTGCGTGTCCTTGCATGAACAGCACAAATTCTGCACTTCTGTTATGTCATCTCATGCCGCAGTCGACTCATTAAACAACTGTATGATTTGCACCATTAGGTCATGACAGAGGTCGTATTCAGCAAGTTCTGACCAGTTCTGGAGAACCGATAGCGGAAATTTTGAGTAGTTTGGAGAACTGGCAAATACCCCCTCTGACTGGCCCCGCCCCCATCTATTCTCCACCTCCCAAGTCCCAGCTCATTGGCTGGGTCTTCTTTGGTTGCCCTGCACAGGAGAACGGAGCTGGAAAGCAGGTTAGTGGGGTGGGGAGGGAATGGAGATTTTACAGTATCCTTCCCCTGCCATGCCCACCAAGCCACGCCATGCCCACCAAGCCAAGCCCATAGAACCAGTAGTAAAAAATTTTGAATACCACCACTGGGTCACGACATGCATGACATCATTCTGACATGGCTGTGGTTTTCGACCAGACACACCTAGAGAAGCTAAACATGCTCTGGGATGCTTTATTCTTCTTCTGCATGGTTTTTGTAAAAAAAAAAGATGTCCTTCTCACCTCGGTTGCATAAGCTCCCTCCGTAGCTGGGCAAGCACAGGCAGACAAAGGCGTTGATCTCGTCAATGCAGGTCCCACCATTTTGACAAGGGTTAGATAAGCAGTCATCAATATCTGTGGAGAGAAGAGCGCGTATGAAGGCGGGGACTCCATCCCATTATGGCAGCTACTACTGGATGGAAACTGAACAAGGAGAGATTTAACCTGAAAATAAGGAGACATTTTTTGACAGTGAGACAATCGATCAATGGAACAGAAGTTGCCTTCGGAAGTTGTGGAAGCTTCATCACTTGAGACTTTCAAGAAGAGATTGGACTCCCATCTGTCAGAAATGGTGTAGGGTCTCCTGCTTGCGTGGGGGGTTGGACTAGATGACCTACAAGATCCCTTCTAATTCTGTTTATCTGTTATCTGCTGCATGGAATTCACAAGTCCCTCTTCCAATTGTCCAGGTTCTGTTTACCAGGAAACCTGATAGACTTTTTTAATATATTTTATTTTATTTTAATATCCTGCCTTTACAGGTAATCCTCGACTTACAACAGTTCACTTAGTGACCGTCCAAAGTTACCACGGCACTGAAAAAAGTGACACTGAGACTGATCGTGATTGGTCCATGTGATGTGACAATGGGGGAAAAGGGCGTGGATTGTAGTTTGGAACATTGTGGGAAGTCCGGGAAACTTTTAGTTTCGAGATTCCACAGATATGCCAGGTGCTATTCTAATAAAAGTACTTTTGAGATTATGCTGGTCTCGGAGTTACTGATTGGAATGGGGGTTTGCTGGAATGCTGACAGACTACCTGTACACCACTTCACAGTGCATTTACATCTCTCTCTAAGCGGTTTACAGAGACAACCTATTGCCCCCAACAATCCGGGTCCTCATTTTACCCACCTGTATCCGTGTGGGAATTAATTCCCGTAAACTTTTCCAGCGGAAGCTGTCCATTCTCTCCCCTCCCTTCCAATCTCCTCACCTATTTCACAGTTTTCGCCTGTGAATCCTGGCAGGCAGTGGCAGCTGGAAAGGTTTCCACTCGACTGGCAGGTGCCTCCGTGCAAACATGGATCGTTATCGCAAGGGTCAGTTTCGGCTGCAAAAAAAGGAAAGAAAAAAGAAACAAGCGGGAGATGAGGAGAGAGGGTTGTTGTTTGTTTTTGTCATTCAGGAAATCCAGATTGCAGAGAGGATTGCTCAGGTCATCTGTGCTTGGCCGTCTTCCGGCTGGACTACAGCAATACGTTCAACAGGAGGTCTGCCCTTGAAGACTACCCAAAAGTCATGACATCTGGTCTAGAATAAAGCAGCAAATATACTCCATAATTTGCCCTTTTGTATGAGCGACACTGATTCCTGGTTGCTTCCTGAGTGCAATTAAAGCTTTAAAGCATGGGTGTCAAACTTGCCACGTCACGTTGCTGTCACCTGACGTTTTGTGACATTCCCCCCCCCCCTTTACGGAGCTGGAGTGGGTGTGGCCTGCGCGTGAGGCATAATGCTTTAAAGCCTTACAAGGCCCATGGCCAGGTTGTTTGTGGGATCACCTCTGCCCATCTTGCTGGGTCAAATAACAGAATAACAGTGTTTGAAGGGACCTTAGAAGTCTTCTAGTACAGGGGTCTCCAACCTTGGTCACTTTAAGCCTGGAGGACTTCAACTCCCAGAATTCCCCAGCCAGCTGAAGTCTCCCAGGCTTAAAGTGGCCAAGGTTGGAGACCCCTGTTCTTGTACAATCCTCTGCTCAAACAGGAAACCGGCTCTGTGGGCGTGGCTGGGTGGGTGTGGTCATGTGACTGGGTAGGGGTGTCTTCTATTTTTTTTTTCTCCTGGAGGGGTGCATTTTTGCTCCCAGGAAGTTTCTTTGAGGTCCAGGAAGGCAATAAATGGAACGGGGGGGGGGGGGGGCAACACACACACACACACACACACACACACACACACACACGCTCCGTGTTTCGGCCTCTTTGGCCTTAAAGAAGCCTCCTGGGCGAAGCAGTAAGACAGCAAAGGGGATCCCGTCACAGCTGATTGTTGGAACAGCTGATCGTCGGGAGGAAAAGAACACAAAAAAGAAATGTTCGGCTGAACCAGTAGCTGCTTTTTTTTTTACTACCGATTTGCCTGAATTGGGCCGAACCGGTAGAATCCCACCACTGCCTATACCATTTCCAAGACAAATGATTGTCCAGTTCTCTTAAAAAATCTCCAGTGTTGGAGAGCCCACAATTTCTGGAGACAAAGCCATCCCGCTAAATTTATTGTTCTGTCAAGAAATTTCTCCTTATTTCTATGTCGGTTCTTTCCTTGATTACTTTCCATGCGTTGCTTCTTGTCCTGCCCTCAGGTGCTTTGGAGAATAGCTGGACTCTCCCTCTTCTTTGTGGCAGCCCCGGACATATTGGAAGACTGCTATCCTGTCTCTCCTAGCCCTTCTTTTCAACAAACTAGACATACCCAATTCCTGCAACCGTTCTTCAAATGTTTTGGCCTCCAGTTTGCTAATCATTTTTTGTTGCTCTTCTCCGCACTCTTTCTAGAGTCTCAAGATCGTTTTTTTTACAAAACTGGACGCAGTCTTCCACGTGTGGCCTTATCAAGTGGTATTAATATAACTATTCCAGTCCTCTGACCCAGATTGGCACCTTCCTGCCCTCCTCCTCTCCTGGATTCCCATTATATCTAGGCAGGCACTTTGCTCTGATGAGTGACATTGCGGCTGAGTGTGTTGCTTCGCCCTGCCTCAATTGGCCCGCTCTCGCTCAAAGGCCTTGTCTGATTTTTGCAGTGCTGGTGGAGCGCACAACGCCAGCTCAAGGGCTCTGCTGTGTGCGCCAGTGTGTCCTCTCTCTGCCTCGAATGAAAAGCATAACCGTGTCAAGTGGCCTTTTTTTTACAAGCCCAATTCCCACCGCAGTGCACTGTGGAACGGCCATGGCATCTGTTTGGAGAATTAATTGGGATTCATTACAGATAGTCCTCAACTTAGCATTACAAGAAAGACCAGAATTGCCATCGCTAAGCAAGACGGTTATGTGAGTTGCAAGCCCAATTTTTATGACCTTTTTTTTGCCACAAATCACTGCAATTGTTAAGAAAATCACAGGTCTGTATGGAGAGTCTCAGTCATCCAGGTCATGATTGCCCCAAAGGTATTTTTTCAAGAGGAAAGTGGACTCTCTGTTTTTTCTTGGAAGATGTGTGATGACCAGGGCACGGCACAAAAGCAACAAAGTCACAAAAATAGGTAAAGTCCCTTTAATACCTCCAACTTGGCCCCCAATGTCCAGTTATCCTTGGCTGGAGAAAAATAATCTCCTAAGAACAGTTTTCAAAGGAAAGAAATTCCCTCCGAACTCAAAAGTACATATAAATTATAAATAAAAACCAACACAAACCACACTGCAGCAATTAATGAGACAGGGCAGGATAAAGAATTGAAGACTTCAAAAGATAACGAAACACACACAGTTGGGAGGACGCCAGAACTCAGATCAGACTTGACAAACCAAAATAATTCACATTTTGCTTCCAGCAAGGAGCTGTGCGCAAACCTTCTTTATCCTGTTTTCCCAGCTGCAGCTAATTAAGGGAATCAGGGCCTTTTTCTCCCCCATAACCCATGTTGCTCCCTTATCCGTTCCTCCCTGCGTGCCCTAGGATGAAGAGGGGGTGGACCTGGGTCTTCCTCTGAATGCCCAGCTGGACTGTGCCCTTCTCCAGTTTCCTCCACAGCCACTGGAGCCACACTCCCACTCGCTGCAGCTGCTCAATATTCCACTCAGAATCAGATTCCAACAGGGGCATGACAAGACATTTCGCTTCTCATCCAAGCAGTTTCTTCGGCTCAGAAGTGTTCTCAGAGCCAAAGTAGCTTCTTGGATGCGAAGCGAAATGTCTTCCAAGAAAAACCAGAAAGTCCTGTTGCTTCTTGAAAAAAGCACCTTTGGGACAAAATCACAGCTCACAGAAGCGAATCTGGCTTCTCCTACTGACTTTGGAAGCTGGCTGAGAAGTCCCAAACGGCAACCAGACGAGCATGGGACGGTGCAACTGGTCATAAATACATACTGATTGCCAAGCGCCCGAATTCTATTCACCTGACTGTGGGATGCCACAACAGTTGTAAGTTGAGGTCACCTTTTTCAGTGCTGCTGTACCTCTGAGCAGTCGCTAAAGAAATGGTTGTAAGTTGAGGGTTTGCCTGTACTGGGATCTTTTAAGCAATCGCAGTTGTGTGACCAGAAAGTGAATTATGACACTGTGAACGCCAGGGAAAGGGTAGGCAGGAGGAATCTCATGGAAATAGAAGTAGGAGAAGAAGCAATGGATGGAAACTAATAAGAAGCAATCGGGAGCTAGATCAGACCAAGGATCCACCCACTTTGGCATTTGGCATCTCACAAGGATCCTATGGAAGTTAAGTATGCAATCATTGCTCTTATGACAATTGCGTTTTGCAATACAGATAGTCCTCGACATACAACACTTTGTTTAGTGACCGCTCGACAGCACTGAAAAAATTGACTTATGACCCTTATGACTTATGACCATTTTCCATGGTCATTTTCCATGCTTACGACCACTACAGTGTCTCCATGGTCACGTGATCAAAATTCAAGATCAAGTGGAGGTACTAATACCACCCTATAAAGCCTTAGTAAGACCACACCTAGAGTACTACATCCAGTTTTGGTCACTACACTATAAAAAGGATATTGAGGCTCTAGAAAAAGTGCAGAGAAGAGCAACCAGGATGATGAGGGGACTGGAGGCTAAACCATATGAAGAACAGTTACAGGAACTGGGCCTGGCTAGTCTAGTGAAGAGAAGGACCAGAGGAGACATGATAGCAGTCTTCCAATATCTGAGGGGCTGCCACAGAGAGGAAGGGGGTCAAGCTATTTTATAAAGCACCCGAAGGCCAGACAAGGAATAATGGATGGAAAATGAACAAGGAGAGATTCAACCTGGAAATAAGGAGAAACTTTCTGACAGTGAGAACAATCAACCCATGGAACAGAAGTTGCCCTTGGAAGTTGTGGGAGCTTCTTCACTGGAGGCTTTCAAGAAGAAATTGGACTCCTATCTGCCAGAAATGGTGTAGGGTCTTCTGCTTGGGCATGGGGTTGGACTAGATGACCTACTGTTACAGACGCTCGGCAACTAACTCCTATTTATGACGGCTGGGGTCTTGTGATCACCTTTTGCGACTTCCTGACAAGCAAAGTCAACCAGTAAGCCAGATTTGCTTTGCAATCATGCTACTAACCTAACAGCTGCTGTGATTCACCTTAACCACCATGGCAAGAAAGATTGTAAAATGGGGCCAAAACTCGCTTAACAAATGTCGCACTTCGCAACAGACATCTTGGAGTCGATTGTGGTCGTAAGTCAAGGACTACCTGTACTCACAGCTCTGTGGGGTCCGAAGGAAGAAATACAGGGGAAAGTTTGGGTGTCTGGGGAGTAAGGAAACTACGTGGAAGCATTTTGTATATTTAGCAAGGGGCGGTGGGAATCTATGGAGCCGTGTTAGTCATCTGGGCTGCGTGAGGAGGACATGTTCTGCTTTGTAACGACGTTAGGAACATGGGAATAAATCCAGTTAATCAATACCCCGAATGTGTTTTCCGCAAAAGTGCATTACAACGAGCTTTGGAAAAGAGAAGCAGAGACTTTAGGACGTTTGTGTCAAAAGCCCCGTTTCGAATCAGTAACGAGTGACAGAGTCCCAAGAGTTTAGCTGTTTGAAGCCTTTGTAGTTAGGGGAATATATATATATATATATATAAATGTGTGTGTGTGTGTGTGTGTGTGTGTGTGTGTGTGTGTGATCCAAAAAATGCTTTTGGGGGAAACAGGATTCAGTTAGTTGTAAATGTCGCTTGACACAGCGGGGGGCCTTGAATAGTGCAGCCCTTCCAGCAAAGCACAAATTATGCCAACTGCTAATTTTTCCCCCCTCTCCTCTCCAGCTCCGGAAAGGAAGGGGAGGTGCCCTGTTGCTTTCTGCCCCTGGAGAAGACGTTGCAAGTCAACTTACAACCATTTGTTTGGTCACTGTTCAGCGTTTCCCTGAAAATAGGACCCACCCCAAAAAGAAGCCCTATCATGGTTTTTGAACGCATGCGCTAAAATTAAGCCCTACCCTCAAAATTAGCCCCAATTAAGACCCCCGCCCACCCCAGGGTACAGGGGGTGGGGCGAGACGCATGGGTAAAAATTAAGCTAGGGTGGGGATGAGGGTGCTGGTGGAGCTGCCTTTCTTACCAGGCCTCACACACCCCGACACCTGCCTCGCCTTGCAGGCCCACTTCTTCTACGGGCCACTTGCCGCCGCTTGTGTGTGTCATCCCCTGCCTCCGTTTCGCCATCAGAGACTTCCAGAAAGCCCTCTGCAGCTGATAACAGAGCTCTGGACTGATCCAGAGCTCTTTTATCAGCTACAGATGCCTTCTGGAAAGCATATGACGGTGAAATGGAAGTCAGGGGGTGCCACACGCATCAATCTGGAGCCCGTTTTTCAGTTGCAGAGGTCTTTCCGGAAGGCTCTAACGGTGACACAGAGGCCAGGGTCGACACGTATGAGCAGTGCCAAGAGGCCACAGAAGAAGTGGGCCGACAGCAGGTCGGTGCCGTGGCAGCAAGGTGAGTCAGTAATTAGACCACCCCGAAAAGAAGCGCTAGCTGTTTTTTCAGGAATCAAAAGAAAATAAGATCGGGTCTTCTTTTCAGGGAAAAATGGTACAATGGCATTGAAAAAGGTGACTTATGACCTCTACTCACAGTTACAACCGTTGCAGCAACTCCATGGTCACATGATCGAAATTGGGGGTGCTTAGCAACCATGTATTTTCGATAGTTGCAGCCTCCTGAGGTCATGTGACCACATTTTACAACGGTTTTGCCCAAAACAGGCGTTCATTTCCATTTTTGGCAGAACTGTACTCCTAGTGAATCGTTGGTTCACTTAACAATCGCCGTGTTCACTTAACACGACAGCTGCTTAATAACCACTTTTTAAAAGCTTGTAAATTTTACAACCATCAGGACTTAGGACTGTGATGGGCAGGCTCCGTTACAGTCATAGGTCAAGAAATTGAATCCCAGCAAATCTTGTTAAAAAGATTTACATAACAGGGATCAGAAAATACCTCTGCTTGCCTAAGATCAGATCACATTAAATTATATCTGTGATCTATCTGCTAGGATCATCAGGTATCTCAAGGGCTTAGTGGCAGGACACACACTTTCTATGCTAATCCGTTGCATCCTGAACCTCACCAATTTAAAACAACAGAAGCCATTCTCAACCAAGAGCATTCTCATAAAAGTGCCTCCATTCCTGAATTCAGGCATTTTCCTGATCTTGGGTGGGCCTTCAACTTCCACTAGCTAGCATGGCTGTGGCTGGGATTTTTGTGAGTTAAAGTCTATTCATTTCACACACACACCCCACCTCAAGCACAAAGTCCAGAAGTGGTTTCCAAGTGAAGTGAGAGCAACGTTAACTCCATTCTTTTGTTTAGGTCAGTCCCTTTAGCTAGGAGAGTCCCTAGCTAAGATATTCTGTGCAGTTTGGAAAAACCCCAAACCTCACTCCTTGGCTGGCCCCTCCCCTCCCCTCCCCGGAGTCCCCACGCGGCCTGTTTTGGATGCAGGTAAGGGCAGGCTGTGCACGGAGGCTCAGGGTGGGCAAAAAACAGGCCTCCAGAAAGTTTGAGAAGGTCGGAAATGGGCCCGTTTCTGGCTTCCAGAGAGCCTCCGGAGCCCAGGGAGAACAAAAGCACTCCACTGCCATGGTGCAGGAGGCTGACTAGGCCACACCCACCATGGCCACACCCACCCAGCAACCGGGCAGAGAACCCATTGCTAAAATTTTTGAAGCCCACCCCTGGAGGACTCCCTGTAAAAGGCCTTCCTGTGGCTGGGGACCTTCTAAGAACTTGTCTAAAAGAAGGAACGGAGTCTGTCTTCACATTACATCTTCTTCCCTCCCGACAAAGACACAAGTACAGAGGAGGCAGGATTCTTACCAAGCAAGCTGTCATTCATCTCCTGGGCCCAAACCAGACGGGGGATTCCTTTGAGTGGTGGTGCATCTTCTTTCTCTTCTCCGCTCCCACTGTCGGTCTCCATTGGGAGGAAGTCTCCAGGGACAGAAGGGATGTACCCTTCCTGGTCCATCTTGGCTTCCACCTCTCTCTCGGTGGGATAGATGGAAGGTTGTGAGCTTGGAACCACAAGCGAGTTTTCAAAGGCAGCTGGCTGCGGTAAGCGTATAAACTCTGAGGTACTGTGGAGTATGAATGGAGTCCTCATCTCAGGCAAACTCAAGGCTGTGGTCTCCTCTCCGTTCTCGGCCTCATCCGGAAGGGATTGAGAAGAAGAAAAGAAGATGGTGTGATTGTGAGCTGGAGGTCCTGTAGTGGCACCACCTGGCCAATAGTAGCCACCATTGTCTTCCTCCGAGCTTTTGTGGTGAATTTGCTCTACCATGCTGGATTCTAGGTGGCTCTCCATGCTTTGAGTAGCCTGTTCCCAGCTACCTTGTGCCTCAGAAATATCTATGACTTCCATGAAAGTGGAACCATCTGGAGGCCTCAGGATTGCTTTGTTTGCTCTGGTGGTCTCCACGCTATCTTGATTGTCGTGGTCCACCAACCATGCCTCAGTTTTCTCAGGGAGGAATTGAGATTCCTGCAAATACACATTTCCTGGAGTTGGGGAGATGACGTCTTTTGGGGAGAGGGTCACAGCTTCTTGTCCCCTCAGTTCAGACGCCGCTTCTGAATGTTGGCTGCTCTGTTCCGAGATGGCGTCCTTTCCTGCGATATTGAGGAGACTCATTGTCTCCTCTTGGTTAACAAAATGGAGCGTTTCCGGCTCCATTTCTTCTTCAGCATCCTCTGGAAAGTTTTGGTGGCCCTCAAAAACAGGTCCTGGAAGCTCTTCGCCAAAGCTCATTGTCTTGATGTGACTTTCTCGGGAGCTGTAATCATACTCTCCACTTGACTCATCAACGTGTGGCTTGTTTCTCCGGTGGTCAGAGGACAGAAGGGATTCTGCTGGGGTAACCGCCTGTCCATGGCCAGAAAATTCATCTTCATGGTCTCCAGCTTGGGCCACCCCTTGAAGATAGTCGCTTCGCATGCTGGTCCCCACGGAAGCATCTTCTGGATCATATCCTGTAGTCACAGCAACTTTCTGCAGATCAAGTAGAACATTATCCGAGACCGGCAATGATATGGGAATGCGCTCATTGTATACGTCCTTCTCCTGGCTTCTTGGCCCAGTCATGGTCCAATATCCTTGGTTGGTTCTTTCGGCACTCACGTCTTCCAAAGAATGAGGTGTTGACGCAGGAGAAAAGGTGGTTTCCTTGGGGCCTCGATTCTCAAGTAACGGCAACCCTGGGAAGATATGCACAGGATTAAAACAGATGCATATATTAGGAGTGTACGGTACTTCCAATTTAATTTTCAAAAATGTTTCAGAATATGCAGGGGTGTGAATACAGCATCTGTCACTAACTTTTTAAAGTAGCCCTGTCTTTTTCTGGGATCACACACCAGGGACAGCTTCAAATCTTAGGACAAGATGCAGCTGCTTTAAAGAGTTGCAGACAGATGTTGGGTTCAAATCCCCATGTACTCCAAAGCACAGTGTGAAACAGGATCCAAAGTACGGCATACTTGTGATACACACAAGTGGGCTCATATCCAGTAAAAAAGACACAGTGAAACCTTACTTTAATGTACAGGTTATCCTCGTTTAGTGACCATAATTGGGACTAGCAACCTGGCCATTAAACAAAATGGCTGCTAAGTGAAACTGCAACTGTACATACGATCTTACTTCAGCCTTGCTATGCTCTGTAAACATGCAAAGATTGTAAATGTGAGGATTGGTCATAAAGTTACTGTCAACCCTGAAGCCAACCTGACTAGAACCATCTTTTGATGATTCATGGCTGCCACAAGGCAGAAGGTACTAATACCACTCTATAAAGCCTTAGTAAGACCACACCTAGAGTACTGCATCCAGTTTTGGTCAGCACACTATAAAAAAGATGTTGAGACTAGAAAAAGTGCAGAGAAGAGCAACCAGCATGATTAGGGGACTGGAGGATAAAACATCTGAAAAACGGTTGCAGGAACTGGGCCTGGCTAGTCTAGTGAAGAGAAGGACCAGGGGAGACATGATAGCAGTCTTCCAATATTTGAAGAGCTGCCACAGAGAGGAAGGGGTCAAGATGTTTTCCAAGACACCTGAAGGCCAGACAAGGAACAATGGATGGAAACTGATCCAGGAGAGATTCAACCTGGAAATAAGGAGAAACTTTCTGACAATGAGAACAATCAACCAATGGAACAGAAGTTGCCTTCGGAAGTTGTGGGAGCTTCATCACTTGAGACTTTCTAGAAGAGATTGGACTCCCATTTGTCAGAAATGGTGTAGGGTCTCCTGCTTGGGGGGAGTTGGACTAGATGACCTACAAGGTCCCTTGCAACTCTGATTATCTGTTATGATGCTGTTAGTGAGGAAGTAAATAGCCTGGCTTGGCAGTCAAAACAAAAAGTTACCTGTGGGAACCAAGGTCATTTAAACAAGTGGCTGAGAGAGGAGGAGTGGAGTAACCAAGTGACTGATGATCTGGGGAAGGGGAGAACTTTCACTTTTTAATTAGGTGGAAATCTGCGGGAACTTTTAGAGTCAGTTTTTATCAGTTGTGCCGATATGATGTATCCAATAAACCTGTTCTTTGAGGAATCTACTTGCCTCGGAGTTCTACTTTCAATGGGTGCATTACTCAGAATGCTGACAGTTACGTTTTCATCACCATTGTAACTGTCATCGGTCACTAAACGAGGCAGTTGTTAAATGAGGACTACTGGTACAGTAATGGTGAGGGGATATCTCTAACTTGAGGGACATGGTGGCCTAGCGGTTAAAATGCTGTGTTTGTCTACCGGAAGGTAGGCAGTTCCAGACTCAAGAGCCACGTGATGGAGCAAGCTTCCATTATTTGCCCCAACTCCTGCCAACCTAGCAGTTCAAAAGCAGGTAAATGCAAGTAGATAAATAGGTACCATTTCTGTAGAAAGATAACAGTGTTCTGTGCACCTGTTAGCCGCATGACCACAGAAGCATCTTCTGGGCGACACTGATTCTTCGGCTGTGAATCAGAGACGAGCACACACACAGACACAAACACACACACAGACACACACACATACCAGAGACAGACACAACTGGGCAGGGGAAACCTTTTTTTCTCTTTATCGTTAACTTAGAAAAGTCCATGAAATTGAAGCGAAGGGCACCATGGTATTTTCACCATATACATGTGCTGCCATCATGCAAATAAAATATACCACGTAGAAATTAAGTCCATGGCATGCCAAGTTCCTTGCTGGCTCAGGAATTCTGGGAGCTAAAGTCCACAAGTCATAAATTTGCCATAGTTACCCACTACGATTTTGATGAACTTGACTTAAAATTTGTTAAATTAACATTTCAGACTCTATGCCACCTTCTATTAAAGCTTCTTCCTTGCTCACTCTCCCATGGCCAGCCCATCTGTCTGGGTGTTAATAAGTACAGGAAATTGGCACCTCTCCATCTGGGCCTCCGAAAGTGCCTCTGTGGAAGGGCTGCATCATAGGCATTTGGCGACGGCTACAATGCCAAGGAGCATGTGGGGATGGTTTCTGTGGCAACTGCCTCCTTATTAGCCTTGCAGCGATGGTCCTTTGAGCTAATAGGGTTCAGCAGGGGGACTCCTAAATTTCTAAGGGTCTTAATCTCCCTGGGAGGGTTAGGGGCTGGGGTGGAGAGTGCGGAGAGAGAAGAAGGGCTGGGATAAGTGGAGCACGATGAACAGTCTGTTAGATGAAAGAAGGAACCCCCTTGAATGTTGTGGAGTTTGTAGGGACGACTGTGTGTGTGTGTGTGAGAGAGAGAGAGAGAGAGAGGGAGGGAGGGAAGGAGGGAGAGAGAGAATATGTACAGCAGAAAGGGGAAACAGATTCTATAGCAATTAAAGAATTGGCTTTCAGTATTTATATTTCTACCTATTAATTGCTCTCTAATATCTTCTCTGTACCTGTCTGTGTCTATGATTGGTTTGCCTAGCTATTTACTTCTCTATGGTTTTCTGCAACTCATCCTTTCCTTTCCTTTCCTTTCTTTTATTTTCCTTTCCTTTTTTCCTTTCATTCGTTCCTTTCTTTTCCTTTCCTTTCATTCTTTTATTTTCCTTTCCTTTCCTTTCCTGTCCTGTCCTTTCCTTTCTTTTCCTTTCCTCTCCTCTCTTCTCCTCCCCTCTACATCCTTCCTTCCTTCCTTCATCTCCCTTTTCCTCCCTTTCTCCCAGTCCCATGAACAATGTATTCCCCTCAGTCCAGAATACTTAGTCTGTTTCAACACATGCTTCTTATTTAAAATTCAGAAAGATCTGGTCAAGACTCCTCTGTCTACAATAGAAAGCAGCCTGACTTTTTATTTTGGCAGGATTACCGGATGGGTCTTTTGTTAAGAGAAGGCCGTGTCAGAGCACAGCAAGGAAGGCTTTTTCTAAAGAAGGATCGTGACTCTGAAATGCCTTCCAAATATGCCAGATATCAAAGCTGTGTCATTTTATATGCTAGCATGAAAAGCATCTGTGCGCATTATCACTGGCTTTCCTTCCGTTCCAGCAAGCAAAAATTCATCTTTACCCTTTTCATTTGGGGATTTATATACTTTATTATTTCATATTGTTCGTGGCACCTGATCCCTGTGTGCTATTTTGAGCGCCCATTGGAATGAGGGATGAAAACTTAAGCGACCATAAATACATCACTTTTCCCAGGGGCAGAAAGAATATAGTCCGATTAATTTAAAAAATAAAAACAATAATGATTCCATCTGGTTCTTTTTTCCAAAATGGCCATAACACAGAGCATGGTTGCCTGCCCAAGTTCAGATAGACTTCTCCTGAACAGGATGGCTCAGAATATTTGGACATTCACACTGTCAGTGTTTATTTTTTAAAAAATAACAAAGAAATTTCCCCAAGGACACAATTAATAGGATCAAGAGAACTCGAAGATTTGCAGAGAGATAAATATCTTAGGTCAAACTGACTCTAGGTTTGTTCAGATAAAACCTCGACTTAAAACCATTCGTTAGAGTGACCATTCAAAGTTACAACAGCACCGAAAAAAGTGACTTATGGCCGTTCTTCACAGTTACGACCGTTACAGCAACTCTGCGGTCACATGATCAAAATTTGGATGCTTGGCAACTGACTCATATTTACGACGGTTGTCCTGGGGTCATGTGGCTGCCTTTTGAAACTTCTGACAAGCAAAGTCAATGGGGAAGCCAGAATCACTTAACCGTGTCTACTAATTTAACAACTGCAGTGGTTCACTTATCAACTGTGGTAGGAAACATTGTAAAATGGAGCAAAACTCACTTAACAACTGTCTCACTTAGCAACAGAAATTTGGGGCTCAATTGTGATTGTAAATCGAGGACTACCAGTAAAGGAGGAGACTCCCCTCCTCTTGATTGGACAGGGCTGCTGACTACCCACCTACCTATCTTTCCTCTATCTTCTCTCTCTCTCTCTCTCTCTCATTCTCTATCTATCTATCCATCTATCTATCTGTCATTCTCTATTTATCTCTCTCTCTATATATATATATCATTCTCTCTCTCTCTCTGTCACTCTGTTTATCTCTCTCTCTTTCATTCTCTCTCTCATTCTCTATCTATCCGTCTATCTGTCATTCTCTATCTATTTCTCTCTCTCTCTCTCTCTCTCTCTCTCTCCCCCTCTGTGTATGTATGTATGTATGTATGTATGTGTATATATATGTGTGTGTGTATACATATATATATATATATGGATCTTTGGTTGTTCGGGTTTTCTCCCACGTAAGATTCGAAGTATCTAGGCAACGTTTCGATGAAGTCTCATTCATCATCTTCAGGCTTCTGTCTTCGGCTCTGTGCTTCTCATCACTCTGAGAAGCACAGAGCCGAAGACAGAAGCCTGAAGATGAT